ACGTCATGGTTTAGTTTGTGGAAGAAAATCAGCACAGACAGCAGAATTTTATGAATGTTATGCTGGCAGCTTGGTAACGGGGCTGAAATTAAATTCTAGAGGGATGAGTGGGCTGGTGACTTCAAATTGAAAGACAAATTCCCGAGGATCTTGAGATTGCTAGTGAGAGGGATATTCTTGTGGAGAAGGCGTTTGAAAAGGGCGAAGGGGGGGATGGGTGGTGTATTCAAGTCAGAAGAAACTTAAAGGAGGATGAAGAGGAACAATTCTGCAACCTGCTGAGGTGGCTCGCTGATTTTAAAGTGAGTAATGAGAAAGACAAAAGAATCTGGAAACCGGACAAGAAAAGAGGTTTTTCTGTGAAATCCTACTATAACTTTATTGTCAAATATGATACGGAAATACCAGGACAGCACAGTTTAAGCAAATTTGGAGATCAAAAGCACCACCTCAAATGGCTTTTTTCATATGCAAAGCTGTTAAAGAAAAAATCTTAACCATCAATACGTTAACAAAAAGAGGTATGATGATAACTAATAGATGTTACATGCGCAAGGCCGAAGAAGAATCACGCAATCACTTGTTACTCCATTGTCCTATGGTCTATAGAATTTGGGAGTATGTGTATGGGATTTTGGGGATGAAGTGGGCCATGGCTGGCAGTGTTAGTGAGGAGCTGTGGGCGTGGGTTGGGTTATATAAAAAGAAAAAAGATTTATTCCTCATTCCGCTTTCTATTATGTGGGTTGTATGGAAGGAGAGAAATGTTAGGGATTTTGATGGAATTGAAACTATCATTGTAAATCTTAGGGATAAATGGTTTCATACTACTGATTATATTTTGATTGGTCATGACATAGTAGATTAAGAATATATGGGGGATGTCATGAACTAACTTATCGACTTGTAATTTTGTGTTGTCCGGTGGTACCTCCTTGGTACCTTTGTGCATAATAAAACCATTTCTTTTATTTCAAAAAAAAAAAAACCTTACTACTTTTCTTTCAAAAAAAATCCAAATAAGACACACAGAGTCTGCACTCTATAGTAAAGTTCATTAAAGATGGAGCACTGGAAATATAAATTTCTTAAAATATATAAATCTAAATAATTATATATTGTAGACTTCTCTTTGCTACATGTTTTCCACCAGGTTTTGTAGACTTGAAAAATATATATATCTAAAAAATTTATCTCAAAAAAATATATATCTAAATAATTGCATAATTCTTCTCATAGTCTTCACTGTCATGACCAAGTTAAAATACCAAGCTATATTCCCTTCAAGAGGATGGAAGGGGTTATAGCCTTATATCTTGCATGAGAAAACAAAATTAACTCATAAGGAATAACAAAAATTCAGAGCAAACAACTGTGCATCTTAAGAAAGTATAATTCAGGCCTAGATTTTCAGAAGCAATGCATGTCCACAAGAAAATGTAACCACTTACTTCCAGTCTGCACTCTGTATATCGCATGGCAGCAGGCGGATCTGCATCTATTGAGCCAAAATTCCCATGCCCTTGGATAAGTGGGCATCTTAAAGAGAAATCCTGGATGACATATAGCAAAGTTATGAACCCAGTGGATGGCCCCAAAAACCAGTAAAAGTAATAAAAAATATGGGAAGGCAAAGTATCGTCCAGAAAAGTAGAATGAGATTAAAAAAAAAAATTAAGGGCTCTACAGAAGAAGGTAAGATCCTCTCTCCCCTAATCATTGATCTATGAATCTTACCAAAACAACACTTCAGAAACTTATCATTTTTTCTCCATTTCTCTCACCCCAAATAGCATAAAAGATATTCTGTCATCATCTTATTCAATAGGATAATGTGTTTGGCTTCCCTTTGGACTAAAGCACAATGCTTCCTTAGGGAATCCCTCTTTCTGCTGTTTGAAGGGATTGGAAGGATCCTTATCCTCCTTTAAATTGGATCTCTTTTTTCCGTATCCACTTCTTTTTCGAATCCCCAATTAGGTCCTAATAAAGATGAGGGGGTACAAAACAAATTTTGTGCCTAACGC